TCCCGCTGCCCCCTCCCTCCTCCTCCTCCTCCTCGTCATCGTCATCGTCATCGTCATCGTCATCAACGCCATCATCATCATCATCATCATCATCATCATCATCATCATCATCATCATCATCATCATCATCATCATCACCATTACCATCGCCATCGCCATCATCATCATCATCATCATCATCATCATCATCATCATCATCATCATCATCATCATCATCATCATCATCATGATCATCACCATCGCCATCGTCAGCGCCGCGCCACTCACACGTTTCGTGGCCCCATAGGGAGCTCCACCGAAGGCCCCAGTGGCTGCGCCCGCATGCGGTTCCACCCCCCATTCTGGCACACCCCTCACACGCGTGGCCCCATAGGGAGCTCCACCGAAGGCCCCAGTGGCTGCGCCCGCATGCGGTTCCACCCCCCATTCTGGCACACCCCTCACACGTTTCGTGGCCCCATAGGGAGCTCCACCGAAGGCCCCAGTGGCTGCGCCCGCATGCGGTTCCACCCCCCATTCTGGCACACCCCTCACACGTTTCGTGGCCCCATAGGGAGCTCCACCGAAGGCCCCAGTGGCTGCGCCCGCATGCGGTTCCACCCCCCATTCTGGCACACCCCTCACACGTTTCGTGGCCCCATAGGGAGCTCCACCGAAGGCCCCAGTGGCTGCGCCCGCATGCGGTTCCACCCCCATTCTGGCACACCCCTCACACGTTTCGTGGCCCCATAGGGAGCTCCACCGAAGGCCCCAGTGGCTGCGCCCGCATGCGGTTCCACCCCCCATTCTGGCACACCCCTCACACGTTTCGTGGCCCCATCTCCACCGAAGGCCCCAGTGGCTGCGCCCGCATGCGGTTCCACCCCCCAACACCCCTCACACGTTTCGTGGCCCCATAGCTCCACCGAAGGCCCCAGCTGCGCCCGCACCACCCCCCATTTCGTGGCCCCACTCCACCCCTGCGCCCGCACGGTTCCACCCCCCATTCTGGCACACCCCTCACACGTTTCGTGGCCCCATAGGGAGCTCCACCGAAGGCCCCAGTGGCTGCGCCCGCATGCGGTTCCACCCCCCATTCTGGCACACCCCTCACACGTTTCGTGGCCCCATAGGGAGCTCCACCGAAGGCCCCAGTGGCTGCGCCCGCATGCGGTTCCACCCCCCATTCTGGCACACCCCTCACACGTTTCGTGGCCCCATAGGGAGCTCCACCGAAGGCCCCAGTGGCTGCGCCCGCATGCGGTTCCACCCCCCATTCTGGCACACCCCTCACACGTTTCGTGGCCCCATAGGGAGCTCCACCGAAGGCCCCAGTGGCTGCGCCCGCATGCGGTTCCACCCCCCATTCTGGCACACCCCTCACACGTTTCGTGGCCCCATAGGGAGCTCCACCGAAGGCCCCAGTGGCTGCGCCCGCATGCGGTTCCACCCCCCATTCTGGCACACCCCTCACACGTTTCGTGGCCCCATAGGGAGCTCCACCGAAGGCCCCAGTGGCTGCGCCCGCATGCGGTTCCACCCCCCATTCTGGCACACCCCTCACACGTTTCGTGGCCCCATAGGGAGCTCCACCGAAGGCCCCAGTGGCTGCGCCCGCATGCGGTTCCACCCCCCATTCTGGCACACCCCTCACACGTTTCGTGGCCCCATAGGGAGCTCCACCGAAGGCCCCAGTGGCTGCGCCCGCATGCGGTTCCACCCCCCATTCTGGCACACCCCTCACACGTTTCGTGGCCCCATAGGGAGCTCCACCGAAGGCCCCAGTGGCTGCGCCCGCATGCGGTTCCACCCCCCATTCTGGCACACCCCTCACACGTTTCGTGGCTCCATAGGGAGCTCCACCGAGCGCCCCAGTGGCTGCGCTCGCATGCGGTTCCACCCCCCCATTTCGGCACACCCCTCACTCGTTTCGTGGCCCGGGGGCGCCACCGAAGAATATATCCACAATTGCGGTATTCACAACTACGTATGGTTGGGTCTTTCGTCAGGCTAATTTCTGTTGAGAAAGGAGAGTCTGTTTGGTGTGGTCTATGCAATGTATGCACTGCTATCTAGATGTTGTGATTTATGCTGCGCAGTCATTGTGCAATCCATGTGGTGCAATACATGTAAATCGTGCAACCTATGCAATGCAATTATGCGAGGCCACGAAAAGGCGGCGACGGCGACAACATAGCCGCCAGACCGACAACCATGCCCAGACGACGGCCGGCGACGAGGCGGCGACGGGGCGGCGACGGCGACAACATAGCCGCCAGACCGACAACGAGGCCCAGACGACGGGCGGCGACGAGACGGCGGCGGGGCGGCGACTGCGATAACATAGGACCGACCCCCCCAGGTCTTTAGAAAAGAAGTAAGACCCCTGAGCGAAACCACTGTTTGGGGAACATCTACATACATGTGTACATGATCATGTATGTGTGCTCACACTTGTATAGACACATCGGTGCATATACATACACACGCGAATGTATACATCTGCTCCCCAAGCCCGCGCCTCGGGCTCCGAACGCCGCTTGGCAGACGGCTCGGCCTTCGGCGCGGGCTTCTCCGCAGGAGGGTCCTCGCGGGCGCTGCTGGGGCATCGGCCAAGGTGCGCTCAAAAGGGGGGAAGGGGGGGGGGAGAGGAAGAAAGGGGGAGGAGGGCTCCTCCTCCCCCCGCCCTCCCCCTCCTTTCAGGAGGAGGGGAAGGGAGAAGGGAGGATGGATGGAGACGAAGAGAAGGAATGGAAGAGTGAGGCGGGTATCGCCGAGATGATGATGCTGATGATGAGGAGGTTGGTGATGACGAGTACTACTGCCATGGTGATGACGACGAAGGTTCTTCTTCTGCTACGATGGTGATAGTGTTGATGCTGATGCGGATGACGATGATGCTGATGATGATGGTGATGATGCTGATGATGATGATGATGATGGTGATGCTTACGATGATGGTGATGATGACGATGATGATAATGATGACGATGACGATGACGATGACGATGATGATGATGATGATGATGATGATGATGCTGATGATGATGATGATGATGATGATGATAATGATAATGATGATGATGATGCTGATGCTGCTGCTGCTGCTGATGAGGCTGCTGATGAGGATGAGGATGAGGATGAGGATGAGGATGAGGATGAGGATGATGATGATGATGATGATGATGATGATGATGATGATGATGATGATGATGATGATGATGATGATGATGCGGATGATGATGCGGATGCTGATGATGCTGATGAGGCTGCTGATGATGACGGTGGTGGTGGTGATGGCGATGTCGATCCCCCTTACGTGGAGCGGGCGCAGTGCATACCCTCCCCACACACAGCAGCTGGCAGGACGGGGCATCCAGGAGCGACCGAGTTCTCAGGCCCGCCGCTCCAGCGGCCGCACCGCAGGAAGCCTCGCTGGCTCTCTGGCCTGCAGTTCGCCCCCCCCCCCCCCCTCTCGAGGGGAGGCCGTCTTTGAGGGAAGCGTGTCCCTGGCCTGCGGTTCCCCCCCCCCCCCTGTACGGGTGATGCCACTCCGATTGGGCGTGGCAAGGCGGCCTGTGGCCCACCCCCGCCCAATTTGGGTCCTGCCGCGCCTCAAGAGCCCCTCGCCCGTGGTCCCCCCTTAAGCAGGCCTGCCCAATTGGGATGGGGCTGGGAAATCAGGAAGATCCAACCCAACTGCGGTCGCGCCCGCCAACCGATACGCCGAGCAAGACACGGCACCACGTAACGCTGCGCTACGCGTGGGCCCCCAACCCCGCACCCCTGCTTGTGGGAATGGCGATGATGACGATGATGCTGCTGCTGATGCTGATGATGATGATGCTGATGATGCTTATGCTGATGATCGTGATGATGACGATGCTGTTGATTCTAATTCTGATGATGACATGACGATGATGACGTAGATGAGGATGCTGATGCTGCTGATGGTGATGATGCTGATGATTATTATGATGATGACATGGTGATGATGGTGGTGATGATAATACTGACGACGACGATGGTGATGCTGATGACTATGCTGATTATTATCATTCTGATGATGAAAATGCTGCTGATGATGATGATGCTAAATGTTGCTGCTGATGATGATGATGTTGTTAATAATGCTGGAGATGATGCTGGTGAGGATGCTGATGCTGATGCTGGCTGATGATGATACTGTTGCTGATCATTCTAATGGTAATGATGATGATGATGATGATGATGATGATGATGATGATGATGATGATGATGATGATGATGATGCAGATGATGATGATGATGCTGCTGATGATGATGATGATGATGCGGCTGATGAAGTTGACGATGACGAGACGGGACTTGATGAACACTACGATGATGGTGGTGATGTCGATGTTGTTAATGACGACAACGGTGGTAATGATGAATCTCCTCATGGTGGTGAAGCTGAATATTATGATGAAGATGATCAATCATGAGGACGAGCAGGAGAAGCGGAAGGAGGAGGACGAGGGCAAGGAGGAGAAGGATGACAAGGAGGAGAAGGAGGAGGAAGAGGAGGAAAGGGAGGAGCTCCGTACCCATTTTTGCTCAAAACATTTTGGCCCAAGACCGTGTTCGGAACTCACATCCCGAACTCAAAACCTTGGCAAATGACATGTTCCGCCAATCGGGCCCCAGAGAAGACCGCCGGGTCAAAGGCGACCCTTCGTTCTTCTCGGTCCCCGCTGCCGCGGGCATGCCTGAAGCATGCCCTACCTGTCGGCCATTCCTTTCAGCAATCCTCACTGCTGCGCTTCACTTGATGGCATGGGGCTGTCAACAACGTGGAAAAAAGGTTCCACCAAGATTCTGAGTCTACTTCTATGGGCAATCATGGGAGAGCAATGAGCAACATATGCCAGCAAAGGCCAGGCCGAGCTTGCGAAGGGTTCAAGGCCCAAGTCTCAGCCACGGCATCCATCACAGAGACGGATCAGAGACAACTGCCAAGAGGTCGCCCAGACGGCAACACGCGGCCAGGTGGAGACGGCAAGGCCAGTGCCCAAATCCGAGACCAGGACCTCCAGGCGCTCTTCCAGGCGACCCCAGTCATGAGCCCCAGCGCGGCTCGCCAACACAGGCCATGGGCCACGCCGCCTACATCACAGTGTCAAACTGAAGGATTCAAAACAACAAAAGGAAAATGGACATCACGGCAATGCTTGTCATTGCTACAGTCGCGGGGGGCAGCGGCGACCCACATTCCAGAGCGGAGCTAACCGCTGTCCAGCTCAAAAAGGCGTACAAAGAACAATACGACTTGCAAGTGAAGATCGATCGCACGAGCGATGATACAACCAGGCTAAAAGGCAGCCGTTATGCCATGACCGAGGAGATGTGCCTACATCGATGAGTGAGAGAAGCAGAAGAACAGTGGTGGTCAGGACGGCAGTCTGGATGTAGGGTCAGCTGCGCCAGCTCCAGCGGCGCCAGAACAGCAACCATGACTCACACCGATGATGGAAACTATGCAGAAACATGTTGCAGAGCAGCAAGCGTACACCTATCCGCCGGCCCCCTTGTGCGGCCACCAGGCTGTAGGACGATGGTTTGCTGTTCCCTGCGCCAGTTCCAGTTTCCAATCTCCACTGTTACAATTCTGCTTCTTGCTGCTTTCTGTTCTTTGTTGATGGACCGCGCGAGGGGGGGGGAGCCGAGAAGGAACCAAGTTACCACGCCCGAATCGGGTGCTCTGAATTCCTGAGGGGGGGCGTCGGACATGCACAAATACGTGAAATTCGCGCCCCCGACCATACACCCTCGTAAATTACTCAAAATTCGCGTCCCCGAGGCTGTGGACCCTCGTGAATTACACAATATTAGCGTCTCCGAAGCCGTGAAACCTTGCAAAGCACACCATATTCGTGTCACCGAAACCATAAACCTTCGTACATTGCGCAATGCTTGCGTCCCCGAGGCCACAAACGCTCGTACATCATGCAACATTCGTGTCCCCGAAACCATGAACCCTCATACATTATGCAATAGTCGCGCCTCCGAAGCCATAAGCCTGCGTAAGCGATGCAACATTTGCGACCCCGAAGCCATACACCTTCGTACATTACACACTAATCGCGTCTCCAAAGGCATAAGCCGTAGTGACTTACGCGATATTCGCGTCTCCGCAACCATAAACCTGCGCACGTTAAATCATATTTGCGACCCCGAAGCCATACACCTTCGTAAATTACGCACTATTCGCGTATCCGAAGCCATAAACCCTCGAAATACAACGCCGAATTCAACCATATCATTAGGATCTCATGTTGTCTTGCCGATTACTCATCGTCCTCGCGTGAAATCCCGACGCTGCTTCACGGCGGCGCCGAGGCCTCATGATTTCGCTCTTGCGTTGCCCATTATCCGAGAGAGGGGGCCCGCGGCAGGGGCGAAGCCCTTGCGGATAATGTGAATGCCATGATGCAACATTCGAAAATCACCTTCAAGGCAAGTGGCAAGGGCGCGTTTGTTATGCAGTGGGCACCTCAGATGCCGACGGCTCCTACGGCGGGTCCCGAAGCAGCTGGTGTGTCACAACAAGGTCTCGTACATCAACAACCCCCTTCTGCTGGGATGCCGGCCCAGATGCAACAAACACTCCCGCCAGCGGCTGCGGCTCCCGTTATTCCTGCGCAGCAACTACCCGTGGCAGCAGCGCAGACGGTTGAGGGAGTTGTGCCAATACGTGCGTCACCTGTCAAACGGGACGGTGGTGAACTACGAGGGTTGCCACCCGCGAAGGCTCGGGTAATGCCGGACGAGGAGCCAGGTGCGATTTACTCGCCCACACAGGAGGTCAACACACAAGAGTGGTTCAATTGCCAGACCAACAAAGCGGAGACAGAGAGGCAGAGCAGACTGCAGGCAGGAGATCTAGAGCAGGAGGCCTTATCAGCCACATACGAGCAAACTCGTCTTTTCATAATTGGAATACCAATGTATCAAGTGAAGTGATGGCCGCGCCTCATGGAGTCCCCAGCCCCAAGAATCAAGGCGATCGAGACGCACAGGCAGCTTGACTAGCAGGACTTGGCAAAACAGGAGCGGGACTGCCGCCTATATGCACGGCGGAAAGAGCAAGCCATGCCAGTGCTCGCCCTCAGGCTTCCGTCGCAATCCACAAGCAGATGTCAATGCGATTTGCGCCAGGGAAGGCAGCGACTGGATCAGCAAGTCAGCATTTCATGCAGCGCTTTGGTCACCGCGCGCATCGTTGAATGATTTCTTGGGCTGGTGTGTGCCAGCAGTGAGACACAGACGTATAACCCGATTGATATATACGCCTCTGATCAACACGCTGCGCCCCGATGGTGACGATTCTTTGTCTGCGGCGGAATGTGTATTTCGAGCAGTGTGGAAGAATCGGTCGGCAAAGTGAACGAGAAGTGGTGGTATCGCACACATGCGCAGACTTATCATGCGCGCTGCTCAAGCATGGGCAGTGCGGGTGAGAATGCATCAAGATGACCTGAGATAGGCAAGACTAACTGTTGGAGGACCACGAGGACTGAGTGACACAACGCTTCCCTTCGACCTTTAGACCAATTCCATGACCGGCTG